TATAAAAGTATATATATACACACCTGCTGAGGTATTGAGCAGGAGCTCTGTCCATGATGCTAATAAATGGTCTTGATGGTTTTTGACTTTTTTTTTTTTCCCTTCTGTTTAGGGAGTGACAATTCCCAGTCAGAGACGCTACGTGTACTACTATAGCTACCTGTTAAAGAATCACCTGGATTACAGACCAGTGGCACTGCTGTTTCACAAGATGATGTTTGAAACAATTCCCATGTTCAGCAGCGGAACTTGCAGTAAGAGATTTATTTGTTTAGATATTTGCTCCTTACTTCTATAAAAAGCCTTTTTTTTTTTATAGCAACTCTTGCTATATAAATTGCTGAAAAACATTTGCTTAATGGCGTATGGGCTTCAAATGCAGCAACATCATTCTTGCCATGATGTTTAAAAATAAATAAAAAAATGGATTCAACTGGGTAAAAATCTAATTAACTCTGGAATAAACTTTTCTTTATATGGAGGCTTATAAAGTATTAATACACCTGTAAATGATTAATCTGCTTTGCTGATACACAGTGTTTTAGGAAGGAGCAGCAGATTCCTTGAAACTTCGAAGTATAAATATGAATTTACTTCTGTCCTTCTGTGGGCTGTGTTACAAGGCAGTGACTGCATAGCGTTGTGTGTTCATTTTTTGTTAGTGGAAAAACTCTTTCTAATGGTTTTGCTATGGGGATTGCTGCTATGTGTAATTAATTCCAGTGCCTCCTGTGGCTTTGATTAAAATTGCACTATTAATATTGTTGTAAGACAGTACCTGAACGTGTAACGCACGTAAACAATCAAGCAACTTGTCAGGTTAGCTGTATTTACAGGAGGAGGAGGAGAAAGGGAGGAGCCTCTGCCAAAAAACCTCTGCCTCTAGGGTAGAGGTGTGGAGGTTACAGATTTCTCCAGTCACCAGTTATTTGGTGTTTTGCATAAACTGTGCTATACTTGCGAAATCGAGCTATGAATGGCTCGCGTGCTGTTAGCGTGCCATTTTCACAGCAGGATGTTGGGAGAAACAAAAGATTTGCTGAGCACCTGAGAAGACAGATACCAACAAAGAAGTGAGGAGCAAATGCAGAAAGACTTCTTTGAACAAGTTGCATTTAATATTTCTGGCTTTCACGCCGGCGTCTGGCAATTTCTGGAGAAAATCTGCTTAGGCTGCACCGAAAAAACCCTCGTAACTTCAGCTGTTACCTCTGCAGATTTAATTTGGAAAGTTGTGCCGTGGCTGGTGCTTTTGTGGTGATGGTGATGTACAGGACAGACGTACAGTCTGTGCCTGCATACATAGTCTGTCGGTGCTGGTTGGTTTGTGTATTAATGTTAAATTTTGTCCTTGTTTTTGTTTGTGTAACAGTTCTGTTTGTAGAAACCAGTTTGTGCTGGCATGACTGCCCACTCTGCAATTGGAAGAAGAGATGGGAGAGAATAAAACCCCTCATTTATGTCCATATAATATAGAGATGAGAGGCAATATGCAAGGAAGAGTCAAGAAGTTTAACTCTGGAATAAACTTTTCTTTATATGGAGGCTTATAAAGCATTAATACACCTGTAAATGATTAATCTGCTTTGCTGATACGCAGCGTTTTAGGAAGGAACAGCAGATTCCTTAGCAGATGTGCAAGGAAAAGTCTCTTCATGTAGTCATTTCTTGTTATGTTAGAAAGAAACAGCAACTTTTTCAGAACTCTACAGTTGCCTGAGAGTATTGCTGCAAAGGACAGAAAGCTTTTAGCTTGTTTCCAGTGACATCTAGCCAAGTTTGATGCCCCTCAGTGCTGATACTTATTTAACTTTCAGAATATCTTCTGAAATCTTCCCCAGTAGCTTGGGGTTGTGATTCTGATACTCGTGTTTTGCTTTTTTGCCACTCGAAGGTGTTTCTTACAAAGCGTCGCTCTGTTTTGCCCTGCAGATCCTCAGTTTGTGGTGTACCAGCTAAAGGTAAAGATATTCACCTCCCCTTCAGGACCCTCAAGACGTGAAGACAAGTATATGTACTTTGAATTCCCTCAACCTTTGCCGGTGTGCGGTGATATCAAAGTGGAATTTTTCCACAAACAGAACAAGATGTTGAAAAAGGTTGGTTTTCTCACTTGTCTGGAAAATGTTGTCGGGCCGATCCCGGTGCGGGGCTGCAATGTTGGTTATTCTTCAGCGATGTATAATCAGTATTTAATTCTCTGATGTCTATGTTTCCCGAGGAGACAATCTACCACAAAATGAAAGCCTGGATATTTTGAGAGTCGGTGAGAATTAAGGACAAAGGTTGGATAAAAATTATGCTGGATATGTATTGCAGTCGTTTGGGTAGTAGTGAGTAATCTAATTGAGGAAGAAACATTCTCATTCTAAAAATAGACTTGCATACTGAGCAAGTTAACTCCAGCTGTTTTCTTCACTAAATTTTCCGAAGGTTTGAGCAGGCACAGAAGATCCTGTCTGTGCTCTTGGCTCGTTTCTACCCGTCTGTCAGACTTGGTTGAATTTCTGAGATAATTGAGTTCCTACGCACCTTGTAAAAGTGTCTCTGCAATCTCTTCAGCCATCTCTCAGTTCCCAGCTGCAGTGCCTTGACATTAGACGTTTAGAGAATTCACTCAGAACTTCATCAGTGGCTCGATTGTGGAAAAAATTAATCTAGAACTTACTCTGACACCAAAGTCAGTGAGTTCTGAAAGATGAATGCCTCATCGCTGGGTTTCATTAATTCTGGTGCTTGTGGAGCTAGTTTGCATCTGCCAGAGTGAAAGGTGAGGAGGAGACCGTGTTGATTAAAGGCTGCCTTTGTATTTGCTACTTAAAATTTTTTGTGAATTCACTGTTTAATGGGTCCTGTAAAACTTCAGAGCGTTCATTGAGCGAATCCTGTGTGCAGGCAAAGCATAACAACAAGAAAATGCTGGAGTGGGCTGGGAGACAAACATAAGTGATGAGTCTCTTATAACTGTGCACGCAGGTTGTACCTACTAGATTTTTGTAAATACACAGGCACACCATTCTGTGTGCTTTTTCAGTTACAAGGTGTATTTGACTAGTTTAACGGTGTCATTTCACTAAGTGGAAATACCGTGTTCTGTTGCTTGCTCTGTGCTGATACCTGCAAAAGTTGATAAGCAGTTTCTTGATGGGAGTGTTGTCTTCTCCCTGCTCAATGAGGTGTTTTAGTTGGTCGACGTGGCTGTGTGCAATACAGGGAACTGTAAACCAAAGCATTTTAAAAGCAGAAATTCTGCTTGACGCCAGCATTAAAATTACTGACTTTTAAAACAGACTTTTAAAGGAGCACCCAGATAAGCACCGTGAGCTACACGTGAAGGATGCAGGGAGGAAATGAAACAAAACCCAGACATCTGAGACAAGGTCCTGTTTTATCTGGTCTCTGCCCCGTCTTAACTGGGAATTTGTCGTTATTTTTTTGTCTTCAGTACCACATGGGTTGCAAATGGACTTTGTAGGAAGCATTGTGCTGCTCTACACCTCCCCGAGCGAGCCCCCGAAATACCAGTGCACAGCTCACTTGCTGGATCTTGTCTCTGTAGCACCAGGAAGGAGCTCCTGTGTGTGCTTTACCTCTAGAGAGAGCACAGTGACAGCGTAAGCCAGAGCTCCTGGCTATCACATAAAACTTCTGTAACAGAAATTCAGCCTTCAAGAGCGTGTAAAACTGTCTGCAGAAACGCGGCAAGCGTGTTACTACGCTGTGGTTTCACTTCAGTGTGTCACAGCAGCCATGGTTTCCTTTCTGAAGAATCTCTTTGTAGTTTCTTCTGAGTAGCTGGTTGATTTCTTTTTTCTCTTTTGGTCTATTCTTATCAAGTACCCGAACTGTTCAGGTTCTGTGGATTGCAGATAGTGCAGAGGTGCTGCTTTTCTCTGTTTTCGGACTGCTAGGGCCAAGAAACGCTGAGATGGTGAAAGCTCTTCTTTCCACATCTGCAGGCTTTTCTGAGAGATAGAAACTGTCCCTTCACCAGTCTTTTGTAAAGGAACCACCTTGATAATCTGCCTCAAAGATCTAGTGTCTTAATTGCCCTCAACCGTTTGTGAGAACGGAGGCCAAAAAAAGTAAGGTGTATGGTGTGACACAGTTCTGGGAAGACCACCTCTGTTAGCTCCGCTGTCAGTGCGGACACGAATTGAGGGCATCTGGGACTGGGTCTGTAGATCCTCGCAGATGTTAGTCTCTTTTGTGAAACCACTGCTGAGATGTTCGTTTGGAGAATCAGTGAAGTATTCCACCCCTGACACATGCTTTGGCACTAGAGGGCCTTCCACTCTGGAGACTTGTCGTGTTTTGGAGAAGATCACCTCTATGCAGTGATCACCTAATTGATGAGGAACATCATAATTAGGAGTAACAGGATCTTATCTTTCAGAGATTCTGGTTTATTCGCATGTGTTTATGAAAGCTGGAATTACAGGTCTGTTGCCTGTCACAGGTTCTTGCTCTTCTAAGGTTTCGTTGACAGATTTATAGGTAGCCACTAAACGGATTTTCCTGGAGGTGCTGGTTGAAGAGAAGCTCACCATGAGCTGGCAATGTGCACTTGCAGCCCAGAAAGCCAACCGTGTCCTGGGCTGCATCCAAAGCAGCGTGGGCAGCAGGGCGAGGGAGGGGATGCTGCCCCTCTGCTCTGCTCTCCTGAGACCCCCCCTGCAGTGCTGCGTTCAGCTCTGGGGCCCCAACACAAGAAGGACATGGAGCTGCTGGAGCGGGTCAAGAGGAGGCCACGAAGATGATCCGAGGGCTGGAGCAGCTCTGCTATGAAGACAGGCTGAGAGAGTTGGGGCTGTTCAGCCTGGAGAAGAGAAGACTCCGGGGTGATCTTATTGCAGCCTCCCAGTACTTAAAGGGGCTACAGGAAAGCTGGAGAGGGGCTTTGGACAAGGGCGTGTAGTGACAGGACATGGGGCAATGGCTTTAAACTGAAAGAGGGGAGATTTAGGTTGAATATAAGGAAGAAATTTTTCCCTCTGAGGGTGGTGAGGCACTGGCACAGGTTGCCCAGAGAAGCTGTGGCTGCCCCATCCCTGGCAGTGTTCAAGGCCAGGTTGGATGAGGCTTTGGGCAACCTGGTGTAGTGGAGGGTGTCCCTGCCCATGGCAGGAGGGTTGGAACTAGCTGATCTTTGAGGTCCCTTCCAACCCAAACCGTTCCATAATTCTTGCACATGCTTAAAGGCATCACTTACCTATCAGTCTGCATTTTAACTTTCCGTAAGAAACCTAATCAAAAAAACAAGAACACTAATTACAAGTGTAATTCTCTACCCGTTCTGGGCCTTAAGCTGGACAATGACTGTCGCATCTCTGGACATCTGTCCTGCTAGGTCTGGTTTGGTATTTGATACCACTGATCTCAGCTGAAATGCTCCAGATTCACTCACCTGTACTTGCTTTCAGATTTCTTAATCCTCTGAAGATCAGTAGCATTATCTGCAGAGCCTCTCTAGTATGGAGGGTCCTCCTCAGCATTGATCAAGCTCTTCTTGGAGAAAATGGTTGCACATGAAACAAAACACACTTGACTTGAAGCACCGAGTGTTGCACTGTCAGTGTGAAATTTAAAAGCAGTCAAGTGTCCTGTTTTGTTGGTTTTGTAAGGGTAAAACTTAATTTAAGCAAATTCAATGGCTAGTGAGAGCTGACCTCAGCCAAGGGATTATTGGTGCTGGTGAGAAGATGTTGGTAAGAGAGTGACCACTTTGAAAAAGTTATCCTGTTTCAGTTCTTCCATAATCTGTGCCACCTGATATCAGTTAGTAAGTCCACAATTTTTGGTCTTTCCTTGCCTAATATGTTTACTTTTTTCTTGGACCGTTTCTTCAGTATGATGGAGCTCCTTCCTTTCGAGAATGAAACACGTGCTCCTACGAGAACAAAATGGCTTGAGGCTCGAGTACACTTATGTATGAATTTCTGATGGCTAGAAGCTGTTAATTTGGGGGATTTCTTGATCATGTTTTCTTGTTTTTCTGACTTACTGCTTGGCTGTTCTTCCAGCTCAGACTGCTGCTGTAGTCTCTCTAGGTTTGCTTCCATGTATCTGCGTGAAGCCTTTTTCTTCCGGTGATTGATACTGACATGATAAAAGTATTTCAGAGTGTCCTTACGTCACTTGGTTCAATGACAGTCTGTTTAAAAATAATACAGAGATCTCGTAATCTTCCTGCCTGCAGAGCCTGGGGGTAAAGGAGACCTTTTTCAGGAGTCCTCCCAGCATAGATGAGAGGAAAACATTGGTGTGGGTTTTTTTTTTCTAAGTCACTGCTGTTTTCTACGCAGACTTTAGCGTGGGCGAGGCTGGCGGCGTTGTTTGAGCTGTTGGGTGTGCCATTTCATCTCTTGAGTCTGCAGGGATGAGAAGTTCTGCTGCACAGTTCAAGAGGACTTTGGGTGGTTGCTGTTTAGCGAACACTGAAGAACGAACTCTGCAAATGTCAGGAGACTTGAACTGTTGATCTGAAAATGGTACAAGAAGTTCCATCAGCCGTGACTCTGGGAAGGCTGTGAGGCCAGAGCGAAACAGGTCGAAACACGATCTCCATCTTCTGATTGCTGGATGGCATCTCCAAAACCCTTAGCTGGTGCTGCAAAGTGATTGAGTGCCTGTAGATCTCTGCAAAAGGAGGATACAGGGACTCCCAGCTGATGTTTTAAATGATCTTGGATTTCAATCTCAGTCTGCAATTAGAGGCAAATAACGGCTCTAGAGTGAGGTATATTTTTTTTTTCTGTCGGTCTGAGAACAGAAAAAGTGCACAAAGTAGGGATAAGAATTGCATGTCAAAATAGTGTGATTAAAATCAGCTTTTGTCTAAAGTATCTGATACCGCACTCTAGATTTTATGGTACAGATTTGGTTATGGGAAGAAATAGATCTGAGATTTCTTTTTTTTTAAGGCAGATGCCTGTGATGTAGCTGGAAGTGAAGCAAAACATGTTCAAAAAAAAGCCTCTAGCTAATACTCATTTTCAGAAGGCTGGTCATTAAACGGCGTTCCTGTGAGCACTTGGCCTGGTATTCTGATTTGCTATATAAAGCCCAAGTTCAGCTCATGCCTCGATTTTTAAAATTC